ATAAGCCTCTTGTGAGGATGTGCAATACATGTCACCTGAAATTATCATTACATCTATTTGCACTGACTTCTCTACCTGTTATGGAGAAAACGTCTCTAGAACAGTTTGCAATCACCCCACATACAAGCAAGGGATAATGATGTCCTCTTATTGTGGACAAACAGCATTTTATCTACATCACCAGGAAACATTACCACAGTGGACATTTCTGTGGAGTTGATATTCCTGCTGTACAGATGAGGAAATCAAGTGAGGAGGGGAGAGTGGCTTGCTGCACCTCCCAGAGGTCCTAACCAGGGGAGGAGGGAAAGCCTCATCAGGATGGGGGACAGTGGAAACCCAGGGCTCACACAGCCACCAGGGCTGCAGCTGCAAGTGGAGATGAGCTTGACAGCTCGAGTGTTGGTGGTGGGGTGGGAGGACTAAGAAACGTTGGAGTGGACCACTGAGAACCACCTCTGAGCCCTGGAATTGGGCAGGTTAATAAATGACCAAGGACTGGCCCCTACTCCAGCCTAACAATCTGTTATGGAATTGCTGGAAATGGTTTTGTAAAGTTCTCCAGTGAGATTCTAATGCACTATAAGCATTGAGGACCACTGGACTAAACTAGGAATTCCATGAAGACCCAAAGAGTGTCCTCTGTCACTGACCCCATGGTATTTGATCTAATGGAGCTGTGACTATTCCTGCTCCAGGCACCTGAATTCTGCTCTATACCCCACGTGGGGTCTGCAGTCTCCATGCCCAGTGTCTGGTCAACACCGTGTTCCCTGTTGCTTTATGCTATTATGAAGTTCCACTATCACGAAGGACTAAATCAAACACCTGTGTGTCCATGAGGGCAGCCCTGAGCTCCCCAGGAGGAAGGCGCTTCTTTCTCCTGCATGTTTCTCAAAACCCACCCACACTCCATTTGCAACCGAGCTCATGGGAGAGCATGACCTCACCTACCTGCCTGGATCTCCCTGAAGGCAAGTCCCAGCAAAGGTGACCTCAGCTCCCCAGAACCCAGAGGGCCTCCAAGAACACCACAGGTGCTCAATAAATGTACTAAGTATCGTGAGAAAAGACTGGACCCAGGTAGAAACTGGTGTCATGATGCTGTCACCTCAGGAAACCAGTCCTGCTGACCTCCACTAACTCCAAGGACGTGAGGAAGGACTGGGGGAAGTCTGAGAAATGGATTTCAGAGAGATCAGGACCTGGGTTTGGGAGCTTCAGATACCTCCAGGGGAGGACCCCCACGGACAGACCACTCGAGGAGGGGAGCCCATGTTGGAGAGATTCAGCCCCAGGCCTCCTCCCCTGGCAGCTCTTGGCTCTGTATCCCCAGAAGAGCCTCTGATTGGCCAGGCTCCGGTCCCAGGAATATGGCCAAGGTAGGGCAGGGCCCTTTGGCCAGGGCTCTCCTGAGGCTCCCTGAGGAATAAGTGAGGCGCTGATGGGAAGGAGGGCTGAGCAGAAACTGGCCAGGCAAGACCAGGAACCTCCGCATGACACCCTGCTCCACGGCTTCAGTTCTTTTCCGAGGAGCAGAAGAAAGGACATGGGTCTGGAGAGGAATGGGGTCTGGCTGAGGGGTTCTATGATCATTCTTTTCTACAGATTCATGACATGCCCTGCCCTGGGGATCATCTGCAATGACCTTCCACCTTTCCCACTCTGTATGAGTCACACTCAGAAGTGCAGTGTGAAGCCTGTTTTTCCTCCCCACCATGCACTGGGCTGTGATCGGGCTGCTGTGGCCTCCATCCCTTTATAACATTGCCATATTTTAATGGTACTTCTAAAGAAAGTGCAGCCAGTTAATAAGCAATATTTGTTTATTTAGAATGTATGCATATGTTTTATTTGGATATATGGGTTACAGAGCTGGAGGGGACCATTACACTAATAAATTTAGTGCTATCCTAAAGACAGTGCACTTTCTGCTACTAAGTAGGGGAATTGCCCCAGCTGGAGGTTCTAAGCACCCACCAGCTGGGTGATGTTGGGCTGTTTTCCTGGCTCTCCATTTCCCCATGTGTAATGTGAGAATGGAGTGTCTTCTAACCTAGAGGGTGATGGTGAAGGTTAACTGCGTTAGTGAGTGGACAAACTATAACAGTATCGGGCCTGTAGTAAATGCTGGGTTTGCTCTTACGAAGGATTTTTGCTATGATTTGGCTTCTATCAGAAGAGTTCTAAATCCTCTAGATGAAAGGGCCCATGCTCAGTGTGTTATGGCTGCAAACTTGTTCCATCCAGACGAGGAGGACACAGTGGGACCTGATCCTGACTCTGTCTGCTTTCTTCTTCCGTCCTGATGCTTTTATTCCCGACGTGGGGAGAAGCAGCATCTCTTTTTATTTTATGGCCTTGTTTTCCTTGGTTGGTGTCACACCATTAAACCAAATGCACATCCTGGCCTTTAGAAAGTCAGTGCAACTGGAATGTTAATATCTCTGCAGATGGATGAGGGCACGGGAAGTCACCAAGATGGCTTAAAATGAGATCCCCTTTCCACTCACTCAGGAAGACAAATGGCAGGAGTCGATTGTCACCAGTCAACAGGACCATTAGCATTTCCCTTATTTAAGAAATATGTCAGGCTCTTCCGGAGCTGCATTCCCACTGGCTGGCTGGGGACTTCCTATGTGACATCCTTGCAAGTCTTGCTCAGTTGTCTGGAACCAAATAAGGGAATGACCGCTGAAAAAGTGCCATTGGACTGCAAAGCACACAGCGGCTGGATTGGCTGACATGGTTCACTGGACAGTCGACAGCCCCTCGGCTGCTGCTCCCCAGTGTGTCCTCCTTAAATATCATTAGCACTTAAGTTCTTAGTTCCCCTGCCTTTTGCTAAAAGTCAACTTACTTAGGACTCAAATCTAAATGCAAACTACCTTAGCACCCGCCACTGCCACGAGGTATTGCTATTAATAAATAGGA